ACCAGAGCTGTGTGCTGAATACACAATCACACTCACAGCCTCACCCTGAGAGACTCTCTGTACCTGCAGCCTTATACTTTCTGGGTGTGATATATACTTTTCATATATAAACTTTTATATACATGTACTTGCCTGTGACATTTTAGCAGTAAAACTCATGCCTTAGAATAGAATAGAATAGAATAGAATAGAATAGAATAGAATAGAATAGAATGTTACTATTCATTCATTCAAAGGTTAATGAGGACCTCTTATTCAACAACTGTAGCTCAAGCTTTTGTCTCTGATTTAATTGTGCTACAATTACAGATGAATTGTTTGAACCTTTGAATTGATTTTTCCTTAATTGATCAACAGCCATTGCCATGCTTTCTGCCCTACTTTATGCTTTTGTTCCTTGCTGATGTGACTAACTATTCAGGCTGATATTATCCCCGAGGGAATTACACCCCCCTCCCTTCCCCTGTTACCAAACAGTGACAACTCCACAGTGCTGAAAAGCACAATTCTGCTCCACTCTCAGTCAGGCGTATTACAGTCACATTAAACTGTGTGCTTGTCACAAGCACTATTTGAACCTTTCGGGTTTGACTGGATGGCTGGGTTGATGTTTGTAACCTTGTGTGGATCAGTGAGGTGATTAACAGCCGGGAGCGCCTTGTGGGAGGATTTTTTCTTTCTAAGTTAAACAGCACAGGCTAATCAGCTAAGCTAATCACTGAACAAACAAAGACACCTCATTGTTGCTCACTCTTTATCAGAATGTCTTCAGAGCAGAAGCAATGTTACTCTTTGCGCTTTTCATAGGCCACTCTTAGATGGACAAGAAATGACATGAAGTCTAAACTAAACTAAATAAAGATGCAAAGTTGTACTGTATTACACTATAACCTATGTAACACACATAATATCATTTTGCTGTAATTCTGACTCTGGTCCATGCGCTTTACTGCATCTACAGGCCAGTGGGGATCTTTCAGCAGGCAGTTTCATCGCTCCCAGACATAATAATGCCATTCCAGATTACTAGCTGCTCACAGAGCTTTTGTGGTGGCCCAACAATAGGAAATGAGCGGGAGGCCTCGGTGTGTCACATGTGGTGCCTTTGATTACCATTCTAGACTTGTTTGTATGACAGAGACTCAGGAAGAAGCAAGAATTCTCCAAAGGTGAAAAGGAACTACACATTATTCAAAACATCTATGTGCAAATACAAATGAACGACTACGCAAGCTAACAGATAAGGCATGCGGTATGTGGAAAAAAGAAGCTACGCTGTTACAGAGGGCTGATTTGGAAGCCATTTCAATGAGAATGTAAACTAGGCTTTGGCTTTTTCCAGCTGTTTCATTTGTATTGTGAAACAGTGTAGGAGTTCCTTTCATGTCATGATGTAGATAAGAGCTTAGGTCATATAACCTATTTCCCTTTTTATCATTAAAGTATTACTGATGCAGTTTGTCAGCTTCTGTGAAAAGAAATGGACATTTCAAATGGATTTGAAAATTAAAATAATTGTGTCATACTGCTGGTAAATGAGGCGTAATCACATTCACATTATGTCACAATAAAGAAAACACAAAACACTCTGGTGCTGTTGAATCACCATTAGCACACACCTGGGTGACGCTGTTATACATGAAAGAAAGTTTCAATGAAAAGCCTTCAGGCTTTTTGGGACAGGAAGTGGCACATTTGCTCATTGAATACATTAGATGTAGGTCTTCATAGCAAAACAAATTCATACTTGGTATATAGCAACAGCTTGGTCTTCTCTGGGTTTCTTTTACTGCCATTAAAGGAGTTAAAAAAAAAAAAACTTAAAGCCTTCATTGAATCATGTCTGAGTGTCTGAATGTTTACCCCCTTTTTTAACTTTGCAGAAGGAAATAGAGTGGGAGGTGTCCAGCCAGCTAGTTGAGTTGAGGTGTTCAGACAAATGCTGACTAGCATAGGCTGATGTGGATTTGTCTCCTCCCCGACAGCTGTGGTGTTCGGCTGAGAGCGTCCTCTTTCTTCCTCTTTCTCAAAGGAAAGGACAACAGTGAGCCATGAGCTCACAAGCCAGCATTTAAAGAATGATGAATAGACATATACAACAGTGTATTTCAGTCTGTATGTGCTTCAGTGGAATTACTGTAGCTAGCAAAGAATGCTAGGTTTGATTTCCTGACAGTGTTTGCTTGGATCTCATGAAAGAGATACTATGTTGACTAGCATAAAAGTTTTTCAGTGTCAGTAAGTGAGATCTTGAGTATAAATAAGTCTTCTAGTGCCTCTATTTCCTTTCTGGTTATGTTATTTTTTTAAATAATAGCACATACATTTGCCTACATCACTGTCCACTATTTTTTGTATTTCTGTAACTTTAGCTGTATATATGTATCGTTTCAAACATATATGCATGCATTATCTTAATATATTTTAAACTTGGGGCACTTTATTATACCGTTTTACTTCATGCTGTTTTTACATGTAAATGAGGTCCCACCTACCCCACATGCATGCTGTTTATCTAAGCTAAAGAGAAACTGTTATTCCACTGAAGCAAATGGGGAAAGACAAGTAGGTTTATCTACTGAATATCTTTTTAACAGTACTTTATAGGTCAGGTCCATATAAGGTAATAAAGGATATTATTGCTTATTGTCCATATGTCATATAAATAAATAAGCATTCAGCTAGAGATCATAAATCAAATAGGCAGTTGTATCACCAGAAGTCAGAATGTGGGGATAAAAATGTATCCTATTAAACCCTTTGAGTTATCCTTATAGAACAATAGTGAAATGGAGAAGGGCCTTGGGGAGATTCCAAAAAGCTTCATCTTGTGCTTCATGGGGGTGGGAGGATGGGGGAGGGGATGTGCAGTTTCATTCACATGCATAATATTAAGGAGGGAAGGAAAGGTGATCATTGGTAAAAGATTACCAGGTTAAGTCTTTTTCGATGAATGTGAAAACAACATGGCCTTGTCATCCATGCTAAAGGACTAGATTTGTAGGTCAAGTTGTACTTCTGTAATGTAAACTAGAAACCACAGGCTACTATACCACACAGGGCGGGGGTGGGGGCTTACAGCCAAAATCAATATTATTCTTTTCTTTCTCTCTTTTTTAAATTGTCAGAATGTCAGATTAATTGTCAGATATATATATATATATATATATATATATATATATATATATATATATATATATATATATATATATATCAGCATTAAAGGGAAATTGCACTAATTGCACTAATGTTTCTGAATGATAGTCCTTGAGATCTAAAGGTCATTCAGAGTGGTTTGCTTGTAGAGAAACTTACAGACTCTTATTTCTTGAATGATGTCTACAACAAAAATATAGCCATTTTATTTGTTATCCAAAACCACCAGTGAACCTACATGAGTCTTCTAAATTTTTATATGTAATGTCGACTATGGTAGAAGAGTAACAAATCTGAAAAATAATTTGATTTGGGGACTATTTTGCCTCACAATGCCCTGCATGTACCCCTACTCCATGAATGGATTAAAATACATTTTAAGCCAAAACTTTACCCCCAAAACTATCATAGAACAATGTGGCAGTGTGTATCTAACCATTACATGTAATAGCTTTTAGAGGCAGACGTCTGGTTCCTATCATCACCTCTGTGAATAATTCTGACTAGGCTAGCTTCTCTAGAACCGAGCGTTCCACACCTTTCTCAATGGCTTTGTTTACATCTCAACCCTTTAATTATGAAGATTTTTTTTGAAAAATCGGTGGCCTTCTCCTTTAAATATTGCAGTCACTGTAAACTGAACTGACTGTTGTGAAAGTTTAACGTTTGAACAAAGAAACTTCCCACCTCCCGTTTCTACAGAGCACTAGCTAAAATTCTGACTTCAAAGAAGTCATAACAAGGAAATAATGACAGAGAAATAATGGAGTCTTCCATAGGTTTTGCATACACCTCTGTGTCTTCCCCCTCCCCCAGCCCCACATGGCGTGTGCAGGATTGAAGTGAGTAGGGTAGGAGACATGTTAGGCATCAGTCAGTGCTCTCGCAAACAACACCCAATTTCCTGCTATTTCGTGACTCACTTTGGACTGTTGCTGGTGAAATGTATCAGTCGTGTAACAAAACAATAAAGAATGGCGATCTGTAGTTGGTAAACACCCCCAAACTAACTTATCCGCCCTGCTGCATACTGTATTTCAGCCATAATGACAGAATAATGCTCTATTTATATCACCTAACGCTAGACATTACCAAAAAGGCTGCTGGAATATGTCATGAAGAACTCATGTCTGGTGCCCACACATTAGGTCAGGAAACCATACAGAGCCACTGGCAAAGATTACAATGCGCGTCACGTTGTATTATACTGGTTTAACTGCAGTGCAAGTTTAAGAGAAAAAAGTATATATATTTATATAAACATTTGTGAACAGCAGCTTCCCCTCGTTCTGAGTTCAGGCTAAGTAAGGTTAAGATATGGAACAGGCTTTTTATTCGTGTTGATCAGTCCAAGCCGGATATGCTGAATGTAAAAGACAATGGGGTCATTGGAAACGTGCCTTCTTCGACATTCTCATAAACTAGTGATGGGAAGTTCGAATCAGCCAGTCGAACCGACTCTTTGGAAGTGTCCGTTTCAGTGACTCGCTCACCTGATTCAACACTTCATTTTCGTTCTTGGCTCATAGCGGTGGGGGCACAATGATTAGTCAACTTTATTCCTTCTCCTCCACATACAAAGACGTTCAAATCAGCGCGCGAATCTAATATAACGTTACTTTTTATCCACGAATGGACCCTGAAACACCTCTCTAAACGCATGCTGGCATGCCACAGAAAAGAGGAAGCCAGCTCCAGCACACAGAGAGAAATGTAAGTGAATTCAGAGGTTATTCTTCATATGTTATAATGTCGTATTGTACGTTGTGAAATATTGTGATTCGTATTGTTTCAGCGCACACATGGTGTAGATGCTGCAAAAAAGCCCAAGTTCGGTTCGGCCTGACTTGCGAGTCGGTTCGACCGGCTTACTAAAAAGAGCCGGTTCAAAGGAGTGATTCGTTCACAAGTCGGACCTCGCTATCTCTCATAAACGAGTTTTGCTGAAGAATAGTTTGGAGGAGCACGTGATCTGAGGTGCCCTCTATGTGAGCGCGCCTCGGAACGCAACAGCTGCACAGTGAGAGATTTGCAAACATTGAAAGCGCAGCTTTTTGGCCGGCTAACAATTGGCTAACGCAGCTAACCAGAATACGACTTAATATCCGAAGAACTTATATGTATTTAACTCTGACACACGTATCATTCCAAATACCTTCTAATAACCGTGTCTGCTATAGTAGCTTGAATACCTGACGAGTGAACATATTGGTAGGTACTGGTGAGTTCCCTATTTTTCCGTGCCTGTTACTTGGACTACTAGCTAACGTTAGCCAATTTTTTGGTGTTATCGCCAGACTAATTTTACATTAACCTACATGTCGAAGCTAACTCGCTTAGCAAAGCGTTGTCACTCCGTCGATAATGTATGTGTTTTTAAGTGTAGGAAGTGGACAGGGATAAGAAACTTGCTATCTTATTCAGTTAAGCCAGGAACTGCGTGGTGGACGGTTGATGCTGCCCTGAAGGAATCGTGAACTGAAACGAACCTGTAGTGAACAAATTTCGCTCTGCTAACTTCTGCTAGTCGCCACCTGAAGCACTGCTGGTCTTTGGCCAGTGTAGTGTGTAAATCTGCCAGTAAGTTCAGTCGTAGAGAGATGAATTCGAGATAACAGCTATGTTACTATTCAAATCGTTATCCAGTAAGGGATGGATTGGTTCAGCATACGTGATGTAAGCTAACTAACTCTTACAATGTAAGATGGTAAAGTAAGTTAACGATAGCTGTGGAAATTGGAATATAAAGTTAATTTGATCACGGATATAGTTGATCACTCGATTGATCTTTTCTTTGGTAGCAGAAGCACAGCTAGCTATTCATTTAACTTTAGATGAGCTACTGAAACCTGTAATTTAGCGGATTAGATCAGTGAACACCGAATCTCGGTGGACACATTAAATTCAGAGTTTACTATGTAAGGGCTTTATATAGCATAACATTAGATAAATCAGATCCTGTAAAAAAAAAGCAGTTTGAGGACTTGCTGATCAGGTTATCACGTGTCAGGAAATTATGGCCACTTAGTTAGGGTTACATGCTGCCAGATTCGAGTGTGTGAGTGAGATAGTTTATTAGCATTATGTAAGTTTGGGTGGTTTCACCGCTGATTTAGGGGCTTTTGTCCGTGTTATCTGCTCGAGCCACAGTCATGTAGCCCTAACTGTTTTCCCAACTTGCCACCTCTTCAGTCGTGCACTTCATTTATGCCCGAGGGCATTTTGTGAATACAACTCGTGGATGAAGGCAGCATTTTTTACAGTTATGAATAGTATTCATTTAAACGGATGAAAACGAATGGCTCACCAGTTCTTATAGCGCCAGAATCAGCTAAATGGCCAACACCAATAAAAAAGGCCAATATTAAAGCTCACATATATCAGTTGCATCGAGTAGTAACATTACCGATTCTTTTCGTCTGTTGAAAGGGTGGAGTCTGAGAGATTTAAAGTTGCTTTGCAGAATACGCCGAGATCATCTAAAACCGAATAGCTTTCTGCTATAAACAGCAAGCAGGTTATCCTTTCCACAAACACTCTTCTGCTACAGACACAGCCAGCGGTGTTTATATGCACGATGCAGAAACAGTGCTGGTATATTAGATCAGCCATGAATGTGACTTATACGTTCGAGCCTTTCATTATTTCGTCTTATTTTATTCCTCTCCTTTATTTTAAAACCTGTAAACATCTATCGATGAACTTGGGTGACTTGGTGGCTAGCACGCCGGTCTTTTGTATGAGCCGCATGCTAAAGCCCTAACAAAAGAACGAGTGAGACAAGCAACAGCTGGTCCTTAGCTGAGTCTTCAGCATGTCAGCCGGTAAAGATTACAACGAGGTGCTCTGACATAAAGCTATGGACTTTATTCCTGACGAGAGACATTTTTTCTGTGGTGTGAGTACAAAAAAAGTGATTCAGGCGTGCAGGGTTGGGTGACGTGGATGGCGACTTTTACGTTTGTTGGCTAATCACTTGTGGTGGGGGGAAGAACAGCAGGCCGACATGCCTGGAGAATGATAATGTGCTGTTTCATTAATCTAGCTTGAAATTTGTAGCTATCGTCAGCGTGTCTTGAAAAATAAGCCCAGTTAGGCTTCACTTTATCAGTCACGATGAACACATTCAGGAGGTGCATTTCTATTATTTACTTGTTTTTAGTGAACACCTCAGTTTCTTCTCAAAGAGTGGTAACTCAACAAATAGTTAACAAAGTGCTGAAGCTTCCTTATTCTGCCTTTTCATCAGCTACACCACAATTGCAGCCTGTTGGTGAACTGTGCAGATTTCAAAGGACAGCTGTGAAAGTGACTTTATGAAGTGTTTACTCAAACGTTTCGATCTTGTCTAAAATGACATTATTAGACCAGTTCCAGTGCTTTGTTCTGTTGTGGAGTCTTTGGTGTCTTTTTGGTGGTTTTGATATATCAGATTCATTCTTTGAAATGTGTTTAGGCTAAGTATATAGTTTTTGTTATTGCGATACCTATTTACGATAAGTATTTACCTTTTTAGAAGGAAAATTGGTCGGCTTTTTGACTTCTTGTGTCACTTTCACAGTGACTGTGAGGTAGATTGTTGAGGTAGAATGATTTCATATTAAATGGAGATGTGAAAGTAGAAAGTAGATATGTGACTGCAAATATCTTTCCAGCTCTAAGCACTGCATGAGTGGGCATTGTGTTGGTTGACTATAGGTAAAGTTGGACAGGCCGTTCCATTCACTGGCATTGTTTTAGGAAATTCTTCTAGAGGCAGTCGTAGCAATTGTTGGTTGACATTACGCTTTTTTTTTTGTCTTTGAGTTGACATTCAGGATCAGTTATGAGGGACTTCCATTTTCTGTATGCAGGCCATTTACAGTTTTATTGCAATTCTGGGTTTGTTGCAATACCTTGCTCTCTGTTCTCCTGTTGTGAGGTTACGTGTGTATATGAGGTTGTAGAAGTCTCCTGAAGTTGTAATGAGTAGGTGCATTGATTTCTAATGAGCAATAGCAGATACTATAACAAGAATAAATATATTGGCTTATGTCGTACAAATGATATTTAACAGTATTGTTGAGCTCAGATATTATTACATATTGTGTTACTATCACTGCTTACTTTTTGTTACTTTTCTTGTTAAGAATTCAACATGATCTGTTTTGGTTTATAATCTGTAGTTCAGGCTTGAGTGTATTATGTTCTTCGGAAGAGGCCACACCTGACATTCTCTCTCTCTCTCTTTCATTTCAGGTTCTGCCTGTCAGGACATAATTCCTTTTTGTGAATCACAAGATATCTGAAGAGATTTCACATGTAAACGCCTACCAGTGGCAAGCCTCAACTACTTTGTGTGTAGTTCGTCATGTCTCATTATAGGGGTACAGTGAAGCTTTCTGAGGATAATCTTTTTTGGAATTTCATTTGAAAACAGTGAGAATCTTCTGAACCAAGTCTTTTACATGAGAGCGACTTATAGAACCAACAGTTTCATATTTTTTCTCAAGTAAAAGGGTGTTAAGTAAAGCCTTTGACATGCCCACCCACCCTCTGATTCCATATGTGGAAAGTCCTGATGGGCTAGGCCATGATATCTTGAACCACAGTAGTGCTACCATGCCTGGGGCTGGCTCCAGTATGACGCCCCATGTCATCCTGGCGGAGAAAGCAGATGCGCAGGTGGCAGGCAGCCTGCCTCTGGACTGCATGTTTTGTGAGGAAACCTTTCAGAGTGAAGAGGAGCTCGGTCCACACCTCTTCGCGCAGCATCACACCACATTCCACGCCCCGGCCGTGCTACGGGTGGAGGCTGAACTCTTAAGCCCTGGAGAGAAAGCCTGCTCCAAGGCATGCCTACCCACCGAGCCTGAGGAGCAACTGGGTTGCATAGTGTGCGGCCAGGCCACTGAAGATGCGGCCAAACTAGAAGCTCATATGAGAAAGCACAAGGATTCCTTCATCTATTGCTGTACCCTGTGTGGCCGGCGCTTCAAGGAGCCCTGGTTCTTGAAGAATCACATGCGAACCCATGGAAAATCTGGGGCCAAGAGTAAGATTCAGGACATTGAGTTGCCTGTCACCATCAATGACATCATCCAAGAACATCCAGCATCACCTGCAGTCACAGCGTACAAAATGTGCATGGTCTGCGGCTTCTTCTTCCTCAACAAAGAGGTGCTAGCTGAGCACAGTAAAGTGCACAGTCGAGAACCAGAGGTGAATGAGGAGAGTGTCTCTGCTGACTGCCAGCCTGTTGTAGAGGCTCCTGCCTCTCAGGAAGGCTTCCTGCAGTGCCTTCAGCTGCAGCCAAGGTCCAGGGAGAATGCAGTGCAGAACAGCCAGCCTGGCCGCTGGATCTCGCAACTCGACCCTTTCAATACCTACCAAGCCTGGCAACTGGCCACTAAAGGCAAGATTGCTGTAGGCCCGAATCTTAACAAGGAGCTCAATGCAGACTCTAACTCAGACAACGAGGACTTCGGTTCTGATAAAGAAGAGCTTGGCTCTATCTGGGACTCAAGCAGCGGTGACAAGCCAGTGAGGAGGGGCCTTAGAAATGAACTGAAGCCCAAATTCAATGGTGGAGAGACCCATTTGCAAGATCAGAAGAGTCTGATGCGCAAAGATAAGCCAACAGACTGTGAGGAGTGTGGGAAGACTTTCAGGACTTACCATCAGCTAGTGCTGCACTCCAGAGTTCACAAGAGAGAAAGAGGTGGAGCAGAGAGCCCCACAACACCTGTGGAAGGAAGGGCTCCGAGCGTGGGCTCTGCTGGCAGTCCATCACTGGACCAAGTGGAGGAGTGCTCTGAGGATGGCTCTGAAGAAGGGGTACCTGGAGAAGTTTTTCATTCAGGTAGAATTTGGCTGATGTTTATCTTTTAAATCTCTATTTTCATTTTAGACTAGTTTAGATACAGTTGCATCTAATCTGTAATGCTTGTTCATTGTTGTAATTCATTTTACAGTTTTGTTTTGAATTGTTGATAAAATATGCAATTGCAAACACATACTTTGTTTTTGCTTATGTGCAATAGAGATTTTCAAGTTGTTTTTTTAACAAAGGGTGTGGCAGTGCCTTTAAATGACCTCTTTCTGTTTGAAGTAACGACTCATTTGCCTTGTTAAGAAGTGATTTGGGGTAAAGCAAGATTCTCAACAGCTCCCCCTTGTGGTTATTTAAGAATTAATCTCTGAAATGACAACGTTTTTCTGAAGTCATTGTTCTGTTATTCTACTTTAACCTTGAAATTTATTTACTTTTTTGCTTTAACTTCTGTTGAAAACAAGTTGGCCTGCTTGTTGGAAGTAGACTAAGTATGTGTTGTTTTCAATTTACTGGCAGATAAAAGTGAAGATGGCTCACACAAAATGAAACTGAAAATTCTTGCTCCAAGGAAATGCTGTTACTGTGGCAAGACTTTCCGTTCCAACTATTACCTCAATATTCATCTCAGGACACACACAGGTATGAAGATTTTTTCTCTGCATTTTCAAAGAATGTTAAATATTATCAAAAATGTAGATTTTAAAATTTCATAAAGAGTCTCTGGGAACACGGCACTTCCTTTTTGAAACAGATTTGCTAATCTTGGGATTGTTTTTGGGACACTTTTTTTCTGTGATTGCTAACTGTCTCACTTCTACTTTCTTTAGGTGAAAAACCTTACAAATGTGAATACTGTGACTATGCTGCAGCACAGAAAACCTCTCTGAGGTATCATCTGGACAGACGTCACAGAGACAAGCCTTTTACAGAGATCCCCAACATCCCCGTGAAGGGCCGAGAGTCTCCCAGGAATGTGGATGACAAGCAAGCTTCAAAATCATTTAAACAGTGGCCTGCTCCGAGCCCCGTTTCTGCCATTATCAAACATGAAGCAGGGCCCAGCCAGCCAGGCATTACCACTACCAGCTCTGTTGTCCGTGTCAAAGAGGAGTGTGGGAATATGTCTGCCACGACTCCTTATACACCTCCTAGCGAGGCACACATCAAATGCCCTTTGCCCATCAACCTTAAAGCTGAGGGGAAAGAGGCCTCAGAGGCACCATTAAATCTTTCCCTGAAAGCATCTTTGTCCATCTCTGCTACCTCAGTGCCTAGGAACATGTTACTGACCAACTCATGCACTTCCTGTGCTTATGAAACCCTTTACCCTGAGGTCCTGCTCATGCACAGGAAGCTTATCCATAAGGAAAACTTGGATATGAAGAAAAATGGCTACAGGCCCCCCCTCAAGCCAAAACGGTACACCGGCTGCCCTCCAGCCCTTGAAGGCCGAGATGTCACCCCTTTGCCTCACATCAACAGAAAACACCCTCGCCGGACCAAGTCCCCACCACCCCAGTCGGGAAGGTCTGGGGAGAAGGTCCAGCCTTCTAAACCTCCTCAAATGCCGAAGACTTCTCCTGCAAAGGAGCCTTGGAGAGACCCCCAGCACAGTACCCAGAGAAGCCGTGTTGCCGAAGGAGGTGCAGTCATCCAGCCCAGGTTCTCAGACGTGGCGGTGGAATCCATCAGAAAATTCAATTCTCCTGTGACTGTGGACAGAGAACCGTCCACTCAGAAGCCTGGACCGGCTAGAACCAGCGTGATCTGGCCCTCTGAGGCGGCCAGGCTGTGTCTTTCAGACCGCTTTAGGAGCTTGACACAAATGGACTATGGTGAGCCCTCCAGCAAGAGGCTAAAGCCTGCAGAGCCTCTTCAGGGCACTGGAAGGATCGGGGACGAGTTCAGTAGACTCATGCCCTCAGGCAGGAATGTGAAAAGCGTGTTGCAAGGAAGCTTGCCCTTGGCTCCTGTCAGAGTGGCTCCTGCAGTGTCTGGCAGCAGCATTGAGGCGGACTGGAATGTGATCAACCTCCTGCGCACCTACACACCCAGCGACCTGGCCTCACTCTACCAGCCCGCTGTGGCAGGCTCCAGCCACACTGCCGGGAATTCACCCAGTGCTGGTAAGTGCAAGCATGAGGTAACAGTTGCTGAATTAGACTAGCTCTCACTTGTGAGGAATTGTGAAATACTTTGTTATGGGAGGTGTTGGTACAGCCTTGATTGTAAACATGAGGTTATTTTCTCTAAATTTCAGTATAGATGTGTAGGTGTTTGCCTTATTATGTGTTTACCTTCAGTATATCTTATAATATATAACTCTGTTACAGTAAATAAAATTTCAGAGTAGAGGTGGGCAATATATAATGATGATGATGAAGATGATGATAAATTACATCACAGTTTACCTTTCTGGCCATATTGAAGATATTGTTAGTACTGAAATGCTGATCTGCATGTTTCACTACAAAGAGAACAAAATGTGTTGTGTTTAATTGGACATAGTGCAGTATGCAAAACATTGAATAAAAATCTAAGTCTGGTTTTTGATAGTACTTTTTGAATGTGGTCCTACTGGGGCTTTTTTTGTTCCTTGTTACTTTTGAAACTAAAATATTGTGATAGGTGATACGAAAATATGAAAATAGCACCAGGTAACACAATATTTTACCACCTCTACGTCGAAAGAGATTGAAAACAGTTGTGCTATAGCAGTTAAGTGAGCTTATACGTGTACTTTAATGGTTTGCCGAACACTTCATTGGCTCCCTCATGCTCAAATTCTCCCATACTCATATGATTTACAGTGCTGTGAAAAAGTATTTGCCCCTTCCCGATTTCTTCTGTTTTTGTATGTCACACTTAAATGTTTCAGATCATCAGTTTGTAAATGGTGATTTCATTTATTTAAGGAAAAAAGTTAATCAGCCCTACCTGGCCTTTTGTGAAAAAGTAATTGCTTCCTTAGCTACTAAATCAAACAGTTAAGCAAATTTAGTTGGCTGTTGGGTTCCGTTTCACTAGCCACACTCAGGCATGGTTGCTGCCAGGCCTGTTGGATCTAAACATCACTTAAACAGAACCTTTCTGGCAATGTGAAGCAGGCTAGAAGGTCTCATAAAGCAATACATGATGCCACATTCTAAGGAGATTCAAATACAGATGAAACAAAGTCATTAAAATCTAGTGTGGAAAGGGTTACAAAGCCATTGCTAAGGCTCTGGGACTCCAGCAAACTGCAGTGAGAGCCATTATCCACAAATGGAGAAAACTTGGAACAGTGGTGAACCTACCCAGTAGGGGTCAGCCCACAATAATTTCAAAAAGAGTGCACTGATAACTCACCCAGGAAGTCACAGAAGAACCCAGATGAACATCTAAAGAACTGCAGGCCTCACTTGCCTTTGTTAAGGTCAGTGTATATGATTTCACAATAAGAAAGACACTAGGCAAAAATGACATTCATGGGAGAGTTGCAAGGCACAAACCACTGCTGACCAAATAGAACACAAAGGCTCGTCTCGCATTTGCCAAAATAGTCCCCAGGACTTTTGGGATTATATTCTGTGGACTGATGTGTCAAAGTTGAAACCTTTTAGAAGACATAGGTCCCGTTACATCTGGCATAAAGCCATAAGAACATCATACCAATAGTCAAACATGGTGGTAGTAGTGTGGTGGTCTGGGGCTGCTTTGCATTTGCAGCACCTGGATGACTTGCCGTAATGGAACCATGAATTCTGCTCTCTATCAGAAAATCCAGAGAAGTTAAGGTTTTGGAGTGGCTCAGTCCTGACTTAAATCCCATTGAGATGCTGTGGCAAAACCTTAAACGGCCAGATAGCACTCTCAAACACTCCAGTGTAGCCAAATTAAAACAATTGTGCAAAGAAGAGTGGGCCAGAATTCCTCCACAGCAATGGAAAAGACTCATCTCAAGTTATCGCCAGCGTTTGATTGCAGTTGTTACTGCCAAGGGTGGCACAGCCAGTTATTAGTTTGTCAGATGGGTTATCTGAATAAAAAAATCTTCAAATAAATCTTCAATAAATGGAATGATCATTTAAAAGCTGCATATTGAATTTACTGATGTCTTTATTAAAGTTAGTTGGATGATCTGAAACATTCAAATGTGACAAAATAGCAAAATGGAAGAAATACTTTTTCACAGCAACTTCTCTGAAGAACAGTTCTCAGAACCATTTTAAACAGAGCAGTCTCAAAGGGAGCTCAGAGGCATCTGTATCGATCCGTGGCCAGTTATCCTTACAGGCTAAGCTATTAATTACACTTGGTCTTATCGTTAGAAATAAATTAATAGGGGCACATTTTCAAAGGGTTACTTCTTTTGATGTAATGGGTGCCATGACCTCAGCGATGGTTAACTCGGTCATGTCTCTTATTAAATCTGGAGGGCGGCTGAGGACCTGTGTCTTTAATGAACGCCCGTATATGCTCGTCTCCCCAGGGAGCAGGCCCTTGCTCTTCCCTCATTACTCCGCTAGCATCAGTCAGAGGAGAAGTCACCCCAGCCTGCTGCCTAACAGCCGTTCGGCTCCTCCTGACGCCAGCTCTTAGAACTTGACAATGGTAAATTTTCACTGGCAGATGTCAAAAAAGGAATTTGTGCTGGGGTTCACATTTTAAAGCTAAAGTTTAATATTCTTTTGTTCCTCAGGCTTGAGATATTTGGATAAAACCACCGCATCCGCTTCCACCATGATGATGACGACGACGACTACTAGAAGAAAGGTTTAAGTTAATGACAAACAAGAACATGTATTTGAAACATGCTCACTCCAGACACTACTTCTAAAGGGACAGCCATGTTACTTATATTGAGCGTGTGGTAAGGGGGATTCATCTGTTATCTCGGCCTTGGCCAAGAAGCAGAGCGAACTTGGGATCAGGCCTTGAACAGTGTTGTTTTCTTGTCATAATGTTCCATTATGTCAACAGCTTACAGATGTGGTACCGCACTTAACACCAAACATGACTTATCATGCACTCCTGCTTACTCTACATGGCCGTTGACTCTTGAATCAACTGTGTTCAAAATCAGATGCTTCGGGGCAGTGCTTTGATTGCCGGAAATCTTGAACTAACAAGTGCCTCTTATACTTGATCGGAATGCTGTTACACAAAGGTAGCGTAGACCAAATAAACTAAGGGGAACTTGACCCAGGTTCGGTTCAGACAGATAAAAAGTATGTTTTGTACATGTTAAATGAGACATTTCTATTTCTATTTACACTGTGCAGGAAAAAAATACATAGATCTACTTTATATTGTGCAGCTTCTGAGAGTTTTTGATCTTGCAATTAAAATGTTTTGGTTTTTTCCATTGGTGCAAACGAAAGCTGCTGTGTTTTTGTCTCGGAACTGAGACGCATGAAACAATGGTGACGTACTGTGTACATTTATTTTTCTTCCGTATTGGGACGACAAATGCAGGCATTGTACGGAACCTCTTTACTGTGACAAAACCAGATGTGCCATCCTCAGGTCTGATGGACAAATAGAACTGTGACTTAGTCTTGCCTTAGTTGTGTGCTAAGCCAGCTCTGTGTGTAGGACTTTCTTTTGGTTTGATGTTACATTCTCACATACCTGAATGTTCTATTTGTGTTTTGCAAAATCAAGTCAAAGATGTGTATTTATTTTCTTGCATCTTGCTTTGTCTTGTAGATGCGTGTGGCAGAGGTACTGGATGCGATTATGCTGATTAATTTTTTTTTATTATTTTTTATTTTTTGGAGCACATGACGGTGGCTTTTCTACTGACCTGTCTGTTGTGGTCTGCTTTTTTCAGAAACTACCTTCCCCACCTCCTTTAAAGGTGCGGGGACTCATAGCACCCGAATGTTAACTTATTTGCTTGTATTTAAGGGGCTCTTTTGTGACCTGCGCCAGAAACCTTTCCTGATACAAACTTGAAACATTTTTCTTTTGTTTTGTTTTTCTTTGCTGTTCACTGGAAGACAAGGCAGAAGTTGCTTATTTTTGCAGTTTTGTTCTTTAGCCACTGTGCAAAATTTAAACTGAGAGAATTGATTGCTGTCAATATTTAACATGCTGGCCACTTCAGTGGTCCAAATAGAATAATAATAATAATGTGTGAGTGTGTCCAGCCTCTCTTCTCTCTCCGTATTGCATTCTCTCACCAGTAACCCTTGTTTTAGTGTTTTTTGCTTAGCTAAGTAGATAGATAGAGGTAACACTGAGGTGCGCCGTATGTAAATATGTATTTGTTTTGATTATCCTCCCTTGGTTATTTTTATTTTTTTCTGCACTTTCACTAATAATTTTCTTCCTTTTTTTGATGTTATTTGCAGCAGTGGTTCTCGGTCCCAGCCCTTGGGACTCTATCCACTGCATAAAGCAGGGTAAACACAAAATATGCAGGACATGGAGTACCCAGGATGTCAGAATGAATGCCACTGTTTTCTGGCCTACACAACATAAGCAGAAATGGAGCAAACACAACATAAGCAGAAATGGAGCAACAATTCCACACCAAGATTTTGAGTGTTTATTTGTACACGCTGGTCTTTATCAAGGATCTCTAACTTTTGTAACCAAGTTGTCAAGAGATGGAGTGTATTTCAGGCTGTTCAGTTGCATAATAAAGCAATTATGTGTATTAGTGAAGCTTTCTTAGTTTGTCTCTGAGTTTGACCATGTGGATGTTAAATAGATAGCAGTAGTATTATGCAGTTACATTTTTAACCAGCATTTATTTGCTAGAAAAGTTTTTTGCTTGGCTTACTTTTGGGGTACACAGATATGAGTGACCACTTGGACCACAAAACCAATGAATCTTGTGGCTAGAATAATAGAAATGTGTTTATAGTGTATATACATTATTTACATTAAAAAAGCATGCTGCAAGAAGAACATTGCCACCCTGACGTCACCTGCTGTGTTGTGTCTTTAAGGACTGTTAAAAAACTGCAGTGATGGCTTCTTAGTGTTGCGCCAGCTTATTTACCACCTTATTTTAATTAAGACCTCATTTGAGTGAGAGCCGATTGAGCAGCATCTGAGATGCAAGGGAGACCAGCAGAGTCACCACACCATCACATTAGCTGTTGTGGTAGTTGTAGTTAACAAATTGCAAATTCTGATTTCATGCACTTTGTCTCATGTTCGACCAAACAGCCTTGTTAAAATGGCAAAAGAATGCAAAAACTCTACAAAGGTAAATAGCCTTTTGGGCCACAGGCTCTGCATTTTTGCTGTGCGAAAAGTGAGACATGGTGGCCAGGAGCACCGGGCAAAAGGCATCGTCTACCTCTTCTTATTTAATTAGTATACTCAGTGAAGACAGTTTCATTACATCATGTTCTGGTTTCAAAGGAATATAATTAGTATTTTGCACTATTTGGTTTGATTACTTTAGATCACTTTGATTTAATAGGCTTGCACAGTGTACTGTTTGATAATCAGAACACTATTGTATTAGTCATTACAAATTTGAAATTATACAAGTTGGGCTATGGCTATGTTGATTTGCCCTGCTAGAATATATAACCCCATACATTGTTTTAAAAGTGTTTTTTAGAACATTACACTAGATTTTGTTGCTAAGCTACTTGGAGCTATATATATACCAATCAGGCATAACATTATGACCACTTCCTTGTTTCTACCCTCATTGTCCATTTTATCAGCTCCACTTACTATATAGGTACACCTAGTAGTTCTACAATTACAGACTGTAGTCCATCTGTTTCTCTGCAAACTTTGTTAGCCCCCTTTTACCCTGTTCTTCAGTGATCAGGACCCCCACGGACCCTCAGAGAGCAGGTGCTATTTGGGTGGTGGATCATTCTCAGCACTGCGGTAACACTGACGTCGTGTTGGTGTGTTAGTGTGTGTTGTGCTGGTACGAGTGGATCAGACACAGCAGTGCTGCTGGAGTTTTTAAACACTGTCCACTCACTGTCCACTCTATGCGACACTCCTACTACCTTATATATATATATATGTGTGTGTGTGTATAAAGTATATCTATTACATGTATAATAGTAATATATAATATACTTTATACATTTTAGTAAGAAAATGTAGAAAAAAAATTTAAATGCAATGTGCAACTGCAGAAGTTGTGGCTTCACGTCTGAGGACTGACTGGGTGTAACTGGTTGTGCCCTTTGTGCTCCTCCCACAAAAAAATGTAAGGTGTATTGCCATCGCAGTATGTAGCGATTTCTTTTCCAATATTAGTATTGGAACTCTGAGTAGCGACTGATTTCGATACAGTATTTCATTTTAAACAACTACAGAGGTCATTTAATTTAATGGAACCCCTTAAGATGAGCATGTAAAAGTAGGATGTCACACTCAAACTACTCAGAAAAACACAGCTAACAACATCACACAATGCTGCTATTTAAGGCTATATTTGTACAAGATTGGATTGTATTCGTTTTTTTCCCCCCTGCATTTGCTGCTGTTGTTGGCCATGTGTCGGTACCGTCTCTAGTTGCAGTGTAACTACAATTATTAGGTGGCCTTCTTTATGTAAATTGCTCATGATAATTTTTCTCTTTCATAGATCTTGCCACAGTGAACCCAAAATATCTGCTTTAAAATCCATGAATAAGACCTCACCTTGTGACAAAAGCTTAAATTAGTTCAGTTTCAGTCAAACTGCCCTTAAGCACTGACTCCTCTTTTAATTTTCGTCTGGAAGCAATAATGGATGTTCAATAATGCAGGCTGAAATTTTTGTACACTGAGCCTCATATCACATCTGTAATGTAGTCCAGCATCAGCAGTGTTGTACAGGAGCCGGCCTGCATGAGTTTGGAAAAGCTACAGTGATAAATGCCAGTCAGACGCTCTGTCATGTAATGTATTTATTCACATTCATAACTGCTGCACCTTCAAGTTCAATCCAAAGTTCAATTGCTAACTCATATACAGTCAGGTCCATAAATATTTGTAGGTCCCTAAAGATGGGGGGGTGGGGTGCTGATTTGCTGAACACCTGATTTGTTAATACCCTCAAATTAAAGCTGAAAGTCTACACTTTGAGATTGTAGTCATATTCACATTATTTAATTTCAACTCCAATATACTGTGGTGGACAGCTAAACTAACAATAACTCTGTTGATGTCCAAATATTTATGGACATGACTGTATCTAGCCAGGAACTTTGTGAACCCATGATTTCTGCATGGAACAGCTCCTTAAACGTGACCTGATCATCTTAGTTAAAACACATTATGTATTAAACAGCATATATTAGTTGAGCTACAGGGTAAAACGTTCATGGTCACTGATGGAAAAGGACTGAAGCCTTGCTTGCAAGCCTCCTCAACCAAACAGTCCTGTGCTGGTCAGTCTTGTGCAGCAGTTAAGGGATACACTTTATTTCCACACACCACTTTTAATTAGTGGCTTTAACATGCACCCATTCCTGACACAGGTTTTCAGTTGCACATGGGGCATTTATAGTCTCCATAGAAAAGCATTGCTAATAGAATGAGACGCTGTGGAACACCCACATAGGAGTCTAAGGTCTTCATGCACAGCCTTGGCTAGAGGAATATATAGCCCACCAGCATTGGGCTGTGGAGCAGTGGAACTGTGTTCTCTGGAGTGATGGAGCTTCATCCAGTTGCCTCAGGATGAGTTGGAGTGGTGTTTGTGATCCAGAACTAATCATCCAACACCAGCACCTGACCTCACTAATGCTCTTGTGGCTGAATGGCAATCAATCTCTCAAGGTTCTTTATAACTTTGAGGACAAGCTTTTAGGGAATGTAGCAATGGTGCTGAAATCTCTTCCATTTGATCAAAGGTGTCTCAAGTCTTTAGAAAACCGTTTGTAACCATTCCCAGTTTAATTCAGCTTTTCTGACGTCCCCTAAAATACAGCAGAGAGAGTGTTACCTGCACACTGTTGAAAAGCCAGACAAGTTTTGCAAAAGTATATATTTATTTCTTTAGAGTACAAAAAACAAGACAGAGTACACAGGCACAAACCGAGCAAACATTTCTGCTTCTTGATATCGTCAGTGCTCATGAAGCAACTCTCTCAACCTACTTCCTTCTGAAGACACAAATTGCCCTCATCTGTGTAGGTTCTGCTAGGGCTTTGTTAAAGTGACAGTACACCAGGAAGAACATATACTCAAAACATCAAAAACCACTTCAAAATATAATACATTAATCAAAGATTCTCAAAGAGTCTTTTTTGTAGAAAACAACCGAGATGAAGATCCTCATTCCTGCCATTAGAGAACAGAGATAAAAGTTCACAAATCCAAAAGGCCCCCCCTCTGTATGCCCCTAAAATCTGTTTTTTTCCCTCTTACATAGTCCAATCCTTTAAGTGGACCTACTGCCTCCTACTTTTAAAACTCAACAATAAATGGGTTTATAACTCACTCACCAGAAACTGTATATATGATTAACATCACACATTTCTTTCTTGAACACTCCCACAATCCCACAGGCCTATATAACCCAAGACAGAAAAAATGAGTACAAGAATTTTCATTCTTGAACTTGAAAAACTACAGGTGGTATCAGAAATAACAGAAACACCATATGAAACACTCATGCTTCTTGTCCATTTAATCAGAAATGCGAACCATGGGCACTTCGTAGGTT